AGACCAAGATTTGAAGTCTTACATCTGAGCAGCACTTTCTGGTTAGGAACAAAATCCATCAATGAGAAATAATTGTCTAAATAACTTTATATAGACTTAAGCCTAATGTCTGAGAAGTGTAATCCCTTGAACTCTTAAAGAAATATACTGATGACTTTACTCTTTGGTTATACTTTCCTTTTGGGTGTTTAAGACCATACAGTTGGCCCAAATAAATCAATTTATTTTTACACTTAATGTCATTTGAGGATCTGTTCCTCAGGGGTCACATGGGCTTGGGAGGAGCTCCTGACTCCTTTCTTTTACCAGTTCCTCCTATGTGAAGATAGATAAAAGGTCCTGCTCATCCATGCCTGACTTCACTTGGAAGTATGAATGAGATGTTTCCTCTGAGTTGACCTTCCTCTTTGTAGACTGGACAGTGGTTCAAGTCCATCTTGTGGGGTCTCCATGGCCTCCTTGAACAAGAGGACAGGTGACTCACCACAGTTATAGGACATTTTGATAGATGTTCCATAGTCCCCTGGAACTTAGTCGACCTTTGAGGGCAAGGGGCAAAAACTGTCCTTTAAGTCCCTCTGACCACATTAGTATAGGCCTTAAACTATGACTGTTAGACATCCAATAAGCTTAGCTCCACCAGTCTGGTACTTTTAATTATCACGTGCTATGTAGATAAGGCTTGGATAAAAACACAAAATATTTTCCGATAAACCTTGGCTACATAATACATATTTCCCTAAACTATGACCATAGACATTTTAAGATTATGTATGTATTATTTTTGTCTCATCCTTTATATATCATGACAAACCTAAACAGAACTTCATCACTTGCTTATGCTTTCTTATTTTTTCTATTTTGGAAAATATCTCCATTCCCAAATCCTTTTAACATCTTTTACCTTGTCATTTTCTTTCTTTTCTTCCTCCCTTCCTTCCTTCCTTCCTTCCTTCACTCTCTCACTTCCTTCGGCAGTGCTGAGAATAAAGTCCAAGGCTTCCAAATATGCTAGGCAATAACTGTACCACTGAACAATAAATATTTTCCCTCTCTTTCTTTCTTTTTAATAAGTCTGAGACATAACAGCATTAACAAATACATTTTCCACCTGTTGTGGGACTTCTTTTCCTGGGGATGTTAAGAAATGCTTATTCCCTTTTAAGGTTCTAGTGTCATGCCAATGTTTGATTAAAGTTTTACTGGGGAACCACTGAATTTATTGAGCTTACTTACCGAGATAACTGAGGGGTTGCTGAGGTGTATGTATGTATGACCTGAGGCTTTGCACACTGGAAAGTCTTTACCCAGCATGAGTCATGCCTTCTCTTCTTAGCTTTCCCCAGATTATATGCTTTAGGTCTCCCCAAATCCAGGAGGGCCATGTGTGATTAGGGTCAAGTTACATACAGTTGGCTGGGAAGGGTAGCTGCTGATCTTCACATTGAATAAAAAATATCAGGGCAGAGTAGGGGACATGGCTTAGTAAAGTGCCTGCCTTATATGAGAGCCTGAATTTGGATCCCGAGCACCAACATAAAAAGATGAGTGTGGCAGTGCCCGTCTGCAGCTCCAGCACTTAGGGTGCGGAGACAGGCTGGTCTGGCCCTTAAGCTCATTGGCCAGTCAGCAAGTGAGCTCCAGGTTCAGTGACTAGGGGTCTTGTCTCAAAAAATAAGGGGGAGAGCCATCAAAGAAGATACTCATTGTCAATCTCGGGCCTCCACATACACGTGCTCACATGTACATGCACACATACATGCACACACCCTCACAAATACCTCGGAGTGAGAGACAGAGATTCAGACACCCCAGTTCTGTCTCTACCTGCCATGTCAGCTTGGATACCCGATTGGTTCCTGTCTCTTCCTTGGAGATTTTGTTTTCTTTCTATCACATAGTTTCTTATACAGTGTCGGTGATCTTCAGTTGCTTGGGAGCATTGCCCAATAGCTGAAGTGTCCCCTGTAATGTGTGCTATTCCTTCACTGTGGCAGGAATTCTGTGTGGGAATATAAGTAGCAAATGAGGGCTGTTAATTCCACGAACTTTTGGGTTGTTTACTTAAGATTTTAGAAGAGAAGTTCAAAGAACTATCCTTGTTTAAATAAGCTCATTTAAGCAAAAAGTTTTTTTGTTTCAGGTATTGTATTAGCTTTCTGCCACTGTAATACAATATTTGGTAAATAACCTCAGAAAGAGAAAAGGGCTATTTTTGGCTTATGGTTTTTAGGTGCTCGTTTGTGATCAGGCAAGTCCACTGCTTTTATGCCTCTGGTAGGGGTGCTGGATAGCAATAGTGAGGAGCATGTAATGGAGCACTTTGCTCACTTCAACTGAACAGGAAGCATAATCCAGAGATGAGGGGGATATAGTCCCAAAATCTGGTTAGCCTCCTCTCAGTGACCTGAGTGAGGACCTCCCAGAGGGCCCTACCTCTCAACTCTTCCATTACCTCCCAATAGCCCACCTCTAAGACAAGTCTTTCCACACATGGCCACTAGAGGCATTCAGATCCATCCTGCAGACAGTGTGATGACTATTGAGTTCTCAAACTTTCTGAGTATGCATTTGTCATCAGAAAACTAATTCTTCAACCCTAATAAAAGCCAACTCTTAACCATAATAATGTTGATTAGTTTTTCTTGATCTCTTGTCATTCTGAGTTCTTTTATGTTACTGTGAAAAAAAAAATCAATTTCTCTTTTTAAAAATGAATCCTCAAATAGCAGACTAACTTGGGGACATTTTATATTGGCATAAAATGCCTGTGAATGATTCTGATTCTAATTAAATTGACTATTTCTAGTTATTACTTAATATTTCCTTCTTGAAATTTCCATATTATTAATTATCCATCTTTAACTAGAATTATTTCAGTGATTACAGTTCTATCACCATCTTAGAAAGTGAACAACAGGAATAACTAAAAAATGTTGTAAAGAGCATTTGCATCTATATTAGAAAAGCTTGTCAATTGGCCAAGCAGATGTTGTTACAGATTTTTGTCTTTTACATGACAAATTTCCCATTAATTTTGAAAATCTGTTTTTAAGGCATATGTGCTTTTGATTTTCGCATAGTTGAACTGCAATTTGTGAAAGTTCAAGCAGCTGTCCTGACAAATTTAATAAGTTTGTAACTGAGGCTCTTTTGGAAATGTCTAAATTCTGGAGGTTTATGTTATGTATTTGGTGTTCAGACATACATATTTGGATTTATCTCTGCTAGGCCTCTAAAAGATGTGATATACATCACACACAAACACACACATACACACATTATTTATACTGTATACCAAATAAGCTGGACATAAATTTGCATATATTTTACTTTTTAGGAACATTAAAAATATGTTCATTTTAAGTTTTTACTTGTCTACCCTTTTTTTCTCTTTATCTAGGTTGAAGAAATTGTAGACATTGGATCATTTGCTCCAGAAGACATTCATATTCCTAAGATTTATGTACACCGCCTTATAAAGGGAGAAAAATATGAGAAAAGAATTGAGGTAATTTACTTTGCTTTACTGTCAGGATATGTGGATCTGATTACCAGAGATATGGGGCCCTTCTAGGTGATGGAAGATTGGAGCTGAGCAGCAAGTTCGCTTTGGGTTTTATGTAGGAGTTTCTCACGTACACATTGGAAGGGAACATGACTGTGCTCCTGCCCAGCCTAATAGTATTAACTATGTCTTATGATTTTGTAGGCTGTATCTATCTGCCAGGCTTCTGGAATTATTACAGTTTATGATACCTGGTTTTGACTCCTGTCCTAGAGGTTAGAGATGAATAATTAGGTCTTGGGTGGCTCTGCCCTTGCTTGTTCATACATACCTATCTTGAAATAGTTTTGTACTTTTATGGAATGCAGAAAGAATATCAGTTTTAACTGGTTTTGAGCTCTGGGCATACAGTGGGTGTGAAGTTGTCCAAGGACTGAGTACTAGGAACACTTGAGGTATTCCATAGTGATTGACCTGGGGCTACAGTTGATGTCAATACTTAAAAGTTTCTATGGATTAGCATAAGAATAAATTTGTAGCAGGAGATGCTAGAGCATCAGAGGCACACACTGCCCTGTGGACATCCCACAGAAGACATTTTGCAATCTATAACTGTTATCAGGTGCTTGGGAGATAGGATTGGATATTTACAAACAAATGAACAGAGTCTGTTTTAAGGAAATTTAGCAATGGAAAAGTTTTCTGGCTGGTTTCTGGCTGTTTCCACCATTCCTGTGATGTACATGTAGCAAAGGCAGCTGAAACTCTGCAGGTAGAAACAGGCAGTTGGCAGCAGCAACACCTGGTAAACACAGTCTGACAGCCTCTGGAGACAGATTTTCAAGGCCTCTCCTTTTTCTTTGTTCTGGCTCAATTCCTGAAACCTGAGGAATTCCATTGTCAGAATCTTAGGTGAAACAGTAGTAGTAGTTAGTGTGACGGTAACAAGGGGAATATTTCTTCAGAGACAGGGGAGGTTTATCTTCCTCATCAAATAAATCTGACCTCTTTTGTTTACTTCCTAAATAATTATGTCTGTCATGAAATATCACCCTTTTATTTAAAAAAGATTCTTTGTTGTATTGTATATTGCCTCCTACTGATAATGAGAGCTAATTTTTTTTAGCAAAATTTTATATTGAAGCAGTGATAAAATAGAAAGCATATCTTAAATGTGAATAATTTGTTTTTGCTCATTTTAAAGCGTTTATCACTTCGAAAGGAGGATGATGGACAAGCCAAATCTGGTAAACCCGGAGACAGTGTTAGGGAGCGGATCATCAAGCGAGCTGCTCTTGAGTTTGAGGACGGCATGTATGGTATCCTTTTTCCTTCTGAGGCCTGCCAAACATGTGACCCTTGGTTTTCCTTATACGCCAGGTTATTTTGCTTCCTGGAAAATAATTCTTGTTTAGTTTACAGTACCTTTAAAAGTAGTCAGTCTTGGGGGCTGGAGAGATGGCTCAGCGGTTAAGAACACTGGTTGTTCTTGCAGAAGACCTGGGTTCGAATTCCAGCACCCACATGGTAGCTAACAACTGTCTGTAACTCCAGTTCCAGGGGATGACAGCCTCTCACAGGTTTACTTACACACATGCAGGCAATACATGCATACATATAAAATAAAAATAATTAAAAAAAATTTTTTTTTAAAGTAGTCAATCTTTACAAACTAGGATATATAAGCCAAAGGTAGCAACATCTATGAAATTGGTATTTTGGATTGTTCTGACTTCTTGAAATTGTAGCCAAAATTCACTTAGAGTAATTTTCAGGTATACATTGGATTTCTGTATAGTTTGGCATTTAGCTAGAGGGTTTTGGGAAAAATGATTACTAGGGACAAGGGGTTCATATCTTAAAATCACTGGTATAACCAGGGCTATTTATTTTCTTGGTATTCTGATATTTGAATACTCACTGAAAAGTAAAATCTAGCTTCTTAACAACCCTGTCCTTCTTTTGATAAGAATCCTATGAATGTGTTTTTTATGTCTAATGTTTTGTAAAGTTAATGAGTGATTCAAATTCTGCCCTGTCTGTCCATCCGTCCATCCATCCATCCATCCATCCATCCATCCATCCATCCATCCATCCAGTCTCTTTGGCAAAAAGCACCAGAATAGGCATGATTTAGTAAATTAGTGTTTGAAGTTTGAGTGCACTTAAATAACAGTGAGATTGCCGTTTTGCTAATTTTCAGTTGGCTAGATACTGAATTATATAACAAACAATGCAAAGACTATATGATAACATAAATACTTATTGAACTTTGGATACAGTAAAGTCATTCTTAAAGGCATAGAATAGAAAGAACTGGAAACTTCACTGTCCATTCTCTGAGCGTCCCTGTTGCATGAGTGAGTAGCAGTCATTAGACTCTCATCTTGACTAAGAGATTTTCTATTCCTCTTCTCTTTTCACCTCTACCCCCCTCTATTCTTTACTTTGCAGTTTTCACCTGTGCTGTCATGAGAATTCACACAGGGATAGAGAATATCATGTTGCCTCTCATCCAGCTTCTGCTTAGTAATGGAGGGATTAGCCAGGACTGAGTGGGTGACAGCTGCTGGCTTTCTCAGCTGACATACTATTGATATGTAAACATAGACCACAGCATTCATTCCATACAATAATGCCTCTGAGGTGTTGCTTTTTATTCACTGTTGCTATATTGCTTATGAAAACTGTTTGAAACTCAGTTTATCTGATTGGTCTTTCTATATTACCTACCCTTATTTAACCCTAATAGAGCTGTAGCCTTTGGTTTCTTGGTGTGTGACTTACTAAAAAGTATTTTAAAGACTGAGGGAGTAATCAGATATTGATGGAAGAGCTGAGGTACAAGGCTTGCACTTAGGGTTGATCTTACCTGGAAATAGTTGTCCATAATAGAATTAGTATCTCAGTATGTTCTGTCATGACTGAAAAATTAAGTACAATTAATACTATCATTAGACTGTGGCTGATTAAGAGCTGAACCAAGAAGCTGTGAGTGTAATTTCGCATACTTCCTGAGGCACAGGAAGTAACCTGGACCCCTGAGTTGTACTTCTTTCCTTTGTGGTTGATAATTTAGTGTCATATATAAACTTGTTTTTTGAGGGGGGAGTAATTCATAAAGATTTCACTATAATTAGAATCTCTTCAGCGTGCCATCATTTTTTGTGTTAATTCTGTGAGGTCTTCATTCAGAAGTGATTACGTAGTGCAATAGAGAGCAGATCTCTGATTGTTTCTCCTGCTTGTATTGGGAAGCGGGGTTGAGCGCCCACCATGGTGTGCAGGTCAATGTTGACCTGTGTAGATCTTGCAAGGGACAAGGTTCCATACCCTTTGGTACTTCTTTGCTGCCTCAACACAGCTTCTTGTTCTCTGGCCTCAACTGTGTTCACGGAAATGTGTCCTCTCCTCATTCCTGTTTATGTCTTAGGTACAGTTACCAGTCGCCAAAGGAATTGATGGATTTTAAGCAGTTAGACATTATCAGAAAACTTTTTTCTTTCTTTTTTTTTTTTTTTTTTTTTTTTTTTTTTTTTTGGTCCTTTTTAGACAGTGTCTCCCTGTAGCCCCAGCTGACCTGGAACTTGCTATGTAGACCAGGCGCTACCCATGCCCAGTTCTCAGAAAACTTTTTTAAAATTGAAAAATAGTGTCATCTTTTTGGAATGTTGAATCATCTTTTTAGTGAGAGTTTTATGTAGTGAAAATAGTTTTTAAACAAAGGTAAACCCATGTTTAGTAATATATGTCATAAATGCATCAATCCAAACTTTTGAACACATTAGTAAAAATGAAGATGTCTTATACTGTTATTAAAATGGTCTGTTGGTTAGCACCTCAAGTCATTCCTTTGATATTTTTCTAAGAAAGCATATTAATGCTACTGAGGAAGCAGAGACTAATTAGAGACTTCCTTGTGGAAAATTATAGACTAGTACCCAGAGAGCAGTTGGAGAGTATGTTTAGTTCTAATATTCATAGTGAGATCTTTAAAGGAGACTCTTAATCTGATTTATATATGCAGAAGTTTTATGGCATAATCTCTACTTTACTGTACTATACCTTAACATCTTTCTTCTAGCCAATTTGGGTATAGGAATACCTCTTCTGGCCAGCAACTTCATCAGCCCAAATATGACTGTTCATCTTCAAAGTGAAAATGGAGTCTTGGGTTTGGTAAGAAAAAATTAGACCATTTCTTTAATTATGTTATTTGTGGTTTATTAATTTACAGTTTTTCTGATATTCTGTTATTTCTTAATAGACTTCAGCTGTTACTATAATAAAAATTATACATGTGGAAAATATATTTCCGGCATGGATAATGTGTGATGATCATGGGCAGATAAGCATTGATTGGTTGAGTCAGGACCATTTTCAAAGATACAAATATGCTGGGAATAAAAGCTAATTCCTAATGAAGTAAAAGACTCACACTTTTGAGGTACCTTAAAGTTTGTCTAGAGTGATCAGTTTTCTCATTTTGAAGATAAATTAATTAGGTTTATGTGAACTATACATGTTGAACATTTAAAGGAAAATTCAGGGAGGCCTGAAACACTAGGTGTCACTTCAGCTTATTTATAGGATAGTTTTTGGTCCCTTTTTTGGAAGTATGTTAAAAGTTCATAGCCAATATTTGTTATTAACTCTTACATCTTTTCTTTCCTCCCTTTTCCCTTTTCGTTTAATATAAGTCATAATATAAAAGTACTTGCTCCATTTAAGTTACTACAGTTACTTTACAAAGAGGAATACAAAAGTATCCGAAGATGAAGCTCAGTGGTAGAACACACATGCATGCACACATGTGTATGCCCATATACTTATGTACAAGATTGTATTTAAACAGTATTCTTCCTGAGAACTGAGCAAAGGGAATGTGAGCATGTCCATGCTGAGATCCATAGAGGTAAAGTTAGACCCCAAATTCAGACCTCCTAACCATTGCCTACCAGAAAGTTGGAACTTGCTTTCCAAGTCTTATAGACAAGTAACATGTCTCTCTAGGTGGAATCCTCTGATTCTACCAGAAAGGCTGTAGGCATGTCCAGCCTGTGACTCAAAGGCCACATGTATGCCAGGATATCTATGAATGCCCCTTCCCAGTTGCAAAGTTACTTAATTCTTTATAGGATTATTTTGTGGTTTCTTTGGATTGTTTTTATAACTTGATTATGTGAGCCTTTAAAAAAATTTATTATTTTTATTTTATTTGTATGCATGTATTGCCTGCATGTATGTAAGTTCACCCTGTTGTGCAATGCCCGCAGAGGTCAGAAGAGGTCACTGGGTCCTCTGGAACTGGAGTTACAGACAGTTGTTAATTGCCGTGTCGGTGCAGGGATTTGAACCTGGGTCTTCTGCAAGAACAGTCAGTGTTCTTAACTGCTGAGGCATCTCTCCAGCTCCTGATTATGTGATTCTTGACTATGAACTTCATAGATGATATTGCTGTGGAACAATGTGAAAAGGTTGACATGATTGATAGCTACATGCAGGGACTAAATAATTACTTTTTGTTCTATTGACATATTTATCTTTTTTCTTAAAAAAATTATGTATTTAATAACCACATAATTAGAAGAAGCATTTCATTACAACAGCATTGATATATTCAATAGCAATTTCCAGACCAAAGATGCATCTTTCAAAATTGGCTGTAAATTTTTAGTTTCAGAGTTGATTTAATACAGTTATACAATATTGTACTCAGTGTAAACACTATAAGACATAAAATTGAATGAGGTTTTAAACTTTAAAAACGATCTCCATTTCATTATTAAAATGCACAGTTTTATACAGAAAAATTCTTTTTTTTTTTTTTTTTTTTTGGTTTTTTTTAAAAAGGGTCCCCCTTTACCCCCCGCTGTCCTGG